CGGCATATCCCATATTATTTCTTTGGTGATAGTGTTTTGACCACCTTTTTCCTCACGGATATTTGAAGTAGATGCGTCACAACGTACACTGGATTATCCCAGTGATTATAATTCATGAAAACAGTACGAATCACGATTGCTTCATCCTACTCCTAGGACGGAAATACCTGCTCTGTAAATCAGAAAGATCTGTTGTAGCCCTAGGGCTACAACAGGGCTAATAGGGCTAGGGCTTTCGGTGAGTAAAATACAGTCCTGTTTTTCAGTCTAATTTTGCTCCCTTAAATCAGGGCCAATACAGTCCAATTAGCTAAGGCTGATTTGGTCCCAAGAGCTGAAATGGGCACCAGCGTAGGCTGGAATAGCCTTTTGATTGAGCTTTTTTGGCTTAACTCATGGTGCTCAAATGGCTCCGGGAACGGCTGAATCACACGTTGGCCTGCAAGACTGAATTGACACTTGAAGGCTGAAACAGATCTTTTTAATTTTCAGTGTGGTTTTCTGCTTCTAATCACAGTTTAAACTATTGTTTGCCAGAGTCTCTTACTTTCAAGGGTAGTTTGTTAATTCCTTAAACACAATTTGGCACATTAATCTCAGCACTCCTGAGCTCTTTTTTTACGCTTTTGACGTAAAATAGATACCCTGTCTTTAGTTGTAACACCCTTTGATTTCCATTCTTCTTAGCTTACGGTTTAGAACTAGAATCTATAGAATCGTAATATGTGGGATGTGACTCGTATGCCGTGTTTCAGCTGAGGACCCCTATCAGCGTAATGTGGATAGTAACTCTCTGTAGTGTGTAAGTGCTCTTTCCTTTTATTTGAAAGGCCAATTAGCGCTAATCCAGGATAAACATTTTGTTCTGTACGGTTTTTATATTTTACTTTTCGATGTATTGGTTAGAGTAACAGTTTGTGTTATCATTATTGTATCACGGAGTAAAGATACAACAACATTTTGTAAACGCAAGTTGTATGTTCTTAGCCAACAAAACCTTGCCTACAATTTGGCTTAATCCTGGGTCAAACTTAACCATCTTTCAAGGAACCGGGCCAGCTTTATTTATATTTCAGTTTTCTGGTCGTAATACATGTCAGTCTCACGTTTCATATCCCAAGGTATTAATGACACTGGGTCTTGTTTTGCGATCCCAAAAGAACCTGGCATTTTTAAAAGGATTTCATAGTCCACCTAACTGTGGTCAGCCAGTTCTCCAGGTCCTAAGAAATGCAGCTCGTGCTCATAAACCCAACTCGAAACGTGATCGAAGAAACCAATCACGTACGTACTAATGAGTACGTGATCTCTCATAAAAAATACTTTTTAGTAATACGTGTGTAATGTTTCTTTAGGTTTACACTGTACTTCTTTAGGATTTGCACTATGTCAAAAAGGTAGTGACTACTCAGTTTGATTGAGGGTATTTCCTCGTTGTAACTCCGATAAGAGTGATCGAAGATTGCATTCTCCCTTCGGTTAGGAAAGAGTTGGTTCAGAGTCAAGAATGTTCGCTTTGCCTTCATTTTTCAAAAAATTGTTTCTTCGAGTTTGATCCAAGCTTTTTTGTTAGGTTCTAAATACTCGATTTATTGTTGTTTTCAGCGTTTTGATTCAAAGTTGCACTTTGAAGAGTGTGAGTAGTTCTGAAAGAGCATGTAAAAAAGCAAAAATTCATGCTTTGCCATAAGCACTTATTTTTTTCTTTAGGTTGGCTTTAACTTTCAAATCACAAAAGAGTAGAAATCTTTCCGTTCGATACATATCGAGTATTAAGATCAGGCTGAGATAATGAATATGTCCTCTCTCGGTGATCGAGGATTATTTAACAATTAATGAATGAGGCTGAGTATCTTATGAATAATTATGGAGATCGAGGAGGGATTTCCGTAATTCTTCATATGATACGAAAGCCGAATTCAATAATTGTTTTATTATTCATTCAAAATAATTCCTGGTTTAAAAACATAGCTAAAACATGCTTACGTCCATGGCTATGATCCATCGATATTAAGTTCATCTTCGATAGTGCACGTTTAGGGTTGTTCAGCTCAGCAAATATTCTCCAAGCAGCAGATGTCGCCCTTCGAGTTGTCCTCTTGCTGTTCTTGCCATGTTTTTAGCTATTATTTCGCCTAGTTCTTGCTCTTGAAACGAGTGAACTGTCCGCCATTTTTTGTTTCGACAACCAAAACATCTCAACCTCGTCCCCAGGTCTTCTCGGTTAACAGTTCATTAACCTGCAAAAACGCTGCATTTTTGACGTCATTTCCTCGCTAAGCACAAAATTCTTCCAAATTTGGTCATCAGTAACAGGTTATGGTGAATTATGCGTGAGCTTTTAGCCAATCAGAACGGGCGAAATATTTTGAATGAATAATAATGGTCATTATTTGACGCACCCTAGTTTCACTCGAAGAACCCGCATTATGCATAGGCGCAACAAGCAAACCTTTCTAGTTTGCAGTCTACAAAAAAGACTCTTTAATTTTCCCCCTTTTCACATTCTCCCACATTGAAATGCCTATAAACAGACTTTCACCAAGACTGGAAGCTGGAATTTTATAGGCTGACCAGTAGATCACAGCAACTGTGTTGGAAGGGGGAACTTCACATGAAATCCAGAAATGCTTGAGTATTACGAGGCTCTCTCCTTGATCCATGTCATTTTTCTATTTTATTGTTAATCGTTTAATTATTCATCAAAGTTATGCCCAATCGATAGGTAGTATTTGAGCCACATGTACAGCTCTGTAAACTCCTCTGTAAATCAACTTCTGAGCTAAGCTTGCTAACTAGGTATTCATAAATGTTATACAGAGCTCTACTTATTGTTTCAGTTCACGAGCATGATAAAATATTTGCTTTTGATCTGTACGGGCTTTGATGGGGCGCCTTTAGCTCGTCCATATTCTAAATGCTTGCTCTTTTTTCCTCCCTATTCCGGCTTTCTAGCAGGCTAGATGGACTGTTTCCCTCGGTACTCCCTTATATTCTTTTATTTTATGGGGTTGTGTCGCAGAGTCTGTTCAGAGACAAAAATAGATAGATTTGTGACCCCGATCGGACAATACGCGAAAATATATATAGATGTACACGTTACTGTTTTGACGCGTTTGCTAATTTTTTATACCTACAATCGGCGACAAAATTGTTGAGACATTGTACTCAAATAGGATGACTTGGGAGAACAAAAGAATCCACACACCTTCCCTGACCAGTTGGGGTGTCTTGTTTTCTATAGGTAGCTCGAACCGCGGCACAACATTGCGTGGAGGGTATGGGGGAGCAAAATTAAAGCTTTATTTCCTCCTTTTGAAGTCAGTAAAACGTAAAAAAAACCAGTTTTGGGCGAATTGTCTCAACTCGTTTTGTCGGAGATTGTACATTCATTATTTTTTTTGCCTTGAAATGCATTTGAGTCTTTTTTGAGCTTGCTCGAGAATAACCGGGGATTATGGGGGAAAAATCGACCCTGTTTTAGAGTCAAACAAGAGTCAATTAATTTGGGCTATTGAATCAGAGGCCATGAGGGTGAGAGGAATAATTTTTTTAGTAAAATCCAACTAGTTGGTCAAAAATATCGAGGCAAAACAACTTACGCTCGCAAAACGCGATTCAGCCGCCATTGTTTTGGTTTTCAAAGCCAGCGCTTTTCGCTACTAGTGGGCTATAACATATAGCCTAGTAGTAGCTCAACCAATCAGAACGCAGCATTGATAATAGACCGCTAGGCAGGTACCGATTAATCGGCTCATACCCCGGACGAGACCGCTTAGAGTCACACTGTTGCTAAACAACGCTGAAGACGATCATTAATGATTTAGGCTTGAAAACGTGGAACAAAAGGTCAATGGGGACAATTATTGGACATGAAATCTAACCCTGAGAAGTTCAAAATTTTTTACTGATTTGCTCGCGCAAACGGACCGCCGGGAATCGCTCGAGAGCAGAAGAAGGGCGCAAGGATACGGTGTGGATATAATTTCTGGGCAAATTCCCCACCTACTCGTCCCCTAACAGAGCTTCTATTCATTGGACCGGAAACTTTGGGTTAGGGGAGGGGTAGGTAAGGCCTACAGCCTAGCCTCGTAAGCGGCCACTTTCTGGCAGCCACTTGCCAGCCAGGTTTTAATCACTTTATATAAACACAAGCTCCATTTCTCAGTTATTTCTAAGTATTACCCTCGTAGTCCCGCTCACAGTCAAGCGCTTTTTAATACTGACTGAGCTACAGTCCTGCCGCAGTTGAAAAATTTCCGTCGAACAATGTGCTTTATAGGCCTGGCTTGTCCCCAGGGGGATACTCTCCTTTGAAAATGAAGGAGGTGCTCATCGAACACTTTTGGGGGTAATAAAGTATCGCTTTGGATACCAGAATCTAAGAAAATCGCAGCTGGAGTCATGTCGCTGTTCGTTTAAAGGCATTTAAAAATTAAGGTTTCTTTTATTTGGACCATAAAAATGAGGGGAACTATTTGTTAGTCGACTAAAAGTCCCGCTATTGAAAATTTAGCTCGCGCGAATCTCGCGAGACTCGCTTCACTAGCCCAAATAGGAGAGCTTGCTCGCAGGCTATTGAAAATTGCATTTTAGAGCCGGTTTGTTTTATGTTTCAGAAATGATAACTCTTAAAGTTACAATGAATTCAAGCCGCGGTCAATAAACGATACTCTGGTGCTTTTTAGGGATATTTCCAAAATTTCCCAACGTCCCGTCTCGCTAACGCTTCAGGCTGTGGAGGAGAAAATATGCATCTCACTTTACGAAGCCTAGTAGCGACGTTTCTCGTAAGCTTCTGTTTAGTTTAATCCTGGTTCACAAAAAATGGCCCCAGTCAAACTCCAAGGCAACCGTCGAACGCTGTATGAAGCAGAGTTCTTTCGGCCCTTCGTCCCCCACTAGCCTGGGTGACAGGCGCAGTAAAATGGAGGTGGAAGCAAAAGGACCTATCACACCCCTCTTCCTTATTCCCTTCCCTCCCTACCCCTTTTTTACGCATGCTGCGCAAGGCCACCCCACCCCCACCCCAAAGTAGAAAAAGGGCCGTGAGTGACTCCCGTGATAAAAAATCAGGTATGTTTGGGCCATGATGGAGATGACTGCGCGGACATGCATACAAAATAGTTGATGATTTTGCAAACATTTTATTTCTGAAAACAACGTTAATTCAAAAAGTTGATACCACCAGTGGCGTCCACAGTGGTGTGCATTTGTTCCTTTTTTAAACACATATAACTTTTAATCTATGTTCAAATGGTCACATAAAGCAACAGGAAGCTGGCTTCGGCTTACCATCACACTTTAAACAAGGACACTGCCTCTAAAAGGGATAGCTCCTCACTCTCTTTGTCACGCAACTGCTGCTTGCAAGACTATAATCAATATGGCGGGCTATGTGAGCAAGGAGACTGGAGCCAGTGATATATTATTGTTCCCAGATATCTTGTCCAAGTCCGCCCTTTATTCCCAGCCACGTTTACTAAATTTAGCCTAACAAAGTTAGGTAAACCCCTGTCTTACGTTATTTCTTTTCGAATGCAAGAAATTCGTGTATTTCCGACCTTGAAAATTTGAATTTGGCGACTCCTCGCCTAGGCTCCTCGCGCTCGTCTTTTTCTTTCACTGAGTCTTCAGTCCTCTAAAATAAGGTTTTTCTAGTTTAGTCATGCTCAAAGGCTTATTTTGATCGTTTGCCATTCTCGTCCCCAGAACCACTCGGCTTAATTTGTAATCTCCCCTCGTTTCAAGACCACGTGAACAAGAAACGACGGACTCTGGGGACGAGAATGTCGGTAGCGGAAGTGGAAACGGTAAGTTATCATCGCTCGTCCTCCTCCTTGAATCGACGTGGTCGCTTTTTTTGTAAGTTTTTCGTTTCGCAATGGCCACTTTTACAACAAAGAAAGCGAAAGTAACAGATCGACGAGCGAGGATTACTGATAGTATCCGACTGTAAGTGGAGGCTGAAAGTGAAGGCCGCGCCGTTTGCAAAGCGTCAAATCTTAACTCCAGCACGTCAGAAGTGTCCTTCCTATAAACAGCCGGACTCCGATGGGTATTAAATCTGTTAATGATGGAGAAATTATTACACGCTTTTCTTGAGTCTGAGCAAAGAGGCATGGCCCGTGAGACCCCTTTATTTTCTTTGCCAAGTCAAATTCGATGCGACAACTTAACACACCAACTACTTGCGATGTTGCGATTCAAACAGATATCCCTCCTCCGTATGTGTTGGCTAGTGGGGAAAATACTACTGGCTGTTTTGACATTCACACACCCCGTAAACCGGTGGAAGACTACTTTGTTGCTTTACATGACGCCTTACAGCATCTTGTGACCACTCTGGCTCTTTACGACGGGAATTGTCCTCTGTGAGGCTTTACTTTAGATATGCAATCGCTTACCGTCAGACAGCACGGACATGCCGCTCGCACGGATAAGCATCTCCTGTCGACTCCTGCATCGCTGGTCATTGTGTTCGATGGTATTCGATAGTATAGCTGGAAAATTTACAGCTAATCTAAGGTTCTGTACTTATATTTTGTTCCCATTTTTTAATTTCATGTTATTTTAGGATATTACAAATACTTACTCGAGTTTTCCTTGCTTATTTAGAATAGTTTACGTTCTGGTCTAACAGAGACCCAATACATAAATTCCTGTAAGGCATCTCGCATTGACTAATGTGGAACAACAATATATATTCACTGGTAATATAATTTGCTGAATTATTTTGAGTTGATATTATAAACAACCTGCGTAGCCAAATGTCACTTGTAGTCACGGTTAATTTAGAAAGTAAAAATAAATTAATAAATAAACAAAAATTACCTCACATAAAAAAAACTAACTACAACAAAGTGTAAAATCTTTTCTTATATTGTTTTGATTGTTCCATATGTCATATCAGTACTTTCTTTTTCTTTCTAAGAGATTAAACCTGGCACTTTGCTTCGTACATTGTACTTTTCCTGAATTTCCGTAAGCATATCCTTTCGATGGTCACGAGATTTCAATTGATAACCTCATTGAAGGATTCACTGTATCATATTTGCAACTACTTATAAGAGACGCAACAAAATACACAAAATTAGTACTAATTTGACTAAATTTGGCGAAAGAAGCAGGTTATTACTGTTCCCAAAGAAATAATAGAAATGAGTCCTGTGTGAGATTTTGACGCTGATGCTAGGTTCCAAGGTTCAAGTTAGGTCAAGCAGACTATACTATTAAACAACAGAAGACAAGTAAGAGTCTACTCTGCACTAGCGAAAAGTTTTGTATACGTATCCGGTTCGAGCGCTTTCCCTATTGTTAATTAGACCAAACCCTAGCTCAAGTCTAGATTATTGCCCTTCAGTTTCTTAGTCAGTTAGTAGTTAATAACTGGCAAAACACGGTCAGGAGCCCATAACCCGGAGCGAGCAACTTCCATGCAAGGCCTATTTCACGGCGTTTTTACGAACGGGTTTATTTTTAGACACATTTTAGGGCTCTTTTTCCCGCAAAAATAGAATCTTCAACATGTCTATGAGCGCATTTGAAGTATAAGATATCAAAAACGAAAACTAAAAACGTCAATAAAAGGCAAAATATATCATAGTCAGGTCTGTTGGTTTTGCTGACTGGTTTGTGGAATTTAAAAATATTCAAAATTCGCGCCGAAACCGTAGTTCTAAAAGTAAACTCAAGTCCGTGAAAACGCCTAGACACAAACTTATGGAAGTTACACGCTCCGGTTTTTGGGCTCCTCGTAAAACATACACCCGAGGGCACATATTTTAGTGCCAGTTTATTAAAAGAGCAAGGGGAATGTGCCATTTTCGGGCGGAAATGATGTGACATTCAGTATTTTTAAAATACGAACAACAGCAACGACACATAAAAAAAATTAAAAATAATAATTGTGGTATTGGATAAGATAGAACAGAATTGAAGTGTCTGATATTTATTGATTGACACCCGATTGAAATTAAAGACACAGACAAAGAGAAAACTGAGAAGTACCAGGACCTGAACCAGGAGTCGAAACGGATTTGGAAATTGCGCCTACTCTGAGGTTTTTTTAAAGTTTTTTTTCCTAGACGATTAAACATCAGCACTTAACGTTTTCAGTAGCTATTTGTTTATCCCTTGGGAACATTTTGAGATAAGTGGAGTGATGTTCAGTTTCTATGGTTACGAGATACGACGTCATTACTAGCAGGTGATCAAGTCTTTGAGTGAAAATGCATGTTTTTGGAACTTCTTTTAACAATGAAAGTAAAGCATGTGGATAAAATGATGCTTATTTATGTGTTATTTTTCATGTCAAGCACAAAACATTACCATTTAATTATCCCGGTTTTAATCTGATTTCTTATTCTAGGTAACATCCAAGATGGCGTAAAGGTGGCGACCATTGTTGATGACGTCACAGGCCTCCAACAGCACCACCACTCATCGCACATCGCATCCTCATCTTGTTGAGAAGATGAAAGGCTTTCCACTGAAGGCAAAATCGTTTCGAAATACTGCAACATATCAAAAATTCTGGGGAGGGCTTCCATCAATCCCCCCGCCACTGTACCACGGTGGGGGTATGAATTTGCTTGTACGTCCGAGGGTTAAATCATAGTTAGTAGAGGTCGTAGAGGAGACTAATTATAAGAGGCGGCAAACATCAAAATTATAAACAAGAGCGCTGCAGTTTGTGAGGGAGCCCTCAGTCGGAGGTTGAGTACCTTCAAGTGGACAAAAACATATAACTAAGGAGTCTGCTAGGCTCCATGAAATTTAGGCTAGACATCTAGGTAGTCTCCTATTTTTCCTACGCAAGGCACCAACGACGAGGTTGGCAAGGCAGGCGAGCCACGAGACACGCGCTCGCTTGTCGCGCCTCGCGACTTCGCGACTTCGCTTCTCGCGTGTTACGCCTGCCTCCCGGTATACGCAGTCAGTAGCCCATTTGTGGGTACAAGTGTAAAAGGCTCCTGTAAGAGGAGAGTTCGAATTGTTAAAATTCATACTTGGCCCTAAGGCGGAAATATGACAAAAGAAATGGCATTAAAATCCAGGGGTTAATAATTATTTATTTTGCATTATTTCCCTCAACCTTTTTGGAGCCAAGCCGAGCCAAGCACGAATTCTAACAATTCAAACTTGACTGTCACAGTGCTTCTCAGCCAGTTAGAGCAAAGTACGATGAGATGGGCAAACGAATTTCACGTAGTAGTCGTACGCCGGTGACAACAAAGAAATGAACCATAAAAACGAACGCGCAAAATTCTTACGCTTATCAACATGATCAAACCCTATTGCTTTTTTGACGTTCGCTTTGTTGTTGTCTCCATTAGCTCTAGCCTTGGCTCTGGGTTGATCGGCATAGAACACGACAAGAACTTAAATTTTGGTATCGAAGGGCAACAGGTGCACATCCGGTCATAAATAGTGATAATAATGACATAATTAACATGTTAAAAAAAACTTTTAGCTGACATTAAATAGCTATTAAATAATACATGTCATACAGTAAATTACATTTCACTCATTCGTTTTGTAAACCTTAAGTAGATTATACTATTCGGCTCCTGTTGACCTGTAGAATAGTCCAGCACCCCATGCGGACAACTGATTTGGCAAATGAAAGTTTTGGCATTTTAATAAGCAAAAGCCTCTATTAGGCTCGTGATAAAAGTTTATAAATTGAAGGTAAGGCTGATCGGACAACCAAGGGTTGGTTATTTACAAATTTATTTACTCAATATTCCAAATGGATAAAACTAGTCTTCATCAGGCGCTCGAAAAGCTAAGTGAGAATAGCCGAACGCTTACAGTATTTAAAATAATTCAAAGGCAAATAATAATATATATATTTTATTTCACAGAAGTTCAGGTTTCACGAGTAATCATTGTTTTATTGCTACGGAACTGTTTCGTATGGTGCAAGGACCACACTCATCAGGCAATTTTGACGACTGAACAATTGCCTGATGAGTGTGGTCCTTGCACCACACGAAACAGTTCCGTAGCAATAAAACAATGACTACTCGTGAAACCTGAACCTCTGTGAAGTTATATATATATAGCTGATGCTCCTCAATCAATTGAGTCGAGCGCTCTACGAAATACGTTCTACTCAAAAAACGAATTTATATTTTATTTCTATTTTTATATTATTCTATTCTCGACTCACTTAGCTTTTCTAGCCCTTGATGAAGACTAGTTTTGTCTAGTCGAAATATTGGGCAAATAAATTTGTAAATTATTAACATCAGCCTTGCCTTAAATTTTAACTGTTATCAGGAAAGAGTTTATATTGCTGATCCTGATCTACAACATGCAAGATCCTGCTTTCCCTCTCTGCTGTTTGTCCAAGTGGTCCGGCTTGCAAGAATTGTTCGCAAATTCCTCCTATCTCCCTCTTTCTCCCCTCTCTTCCGATTTTTTTTTTCATCGGATCCCCGTTTCGCGTACGCTGGGTGCCAGAGGCTTTTCATGCGCGGTTTCCGGTTTCGGTCAAGTCTTAAAAAGCGACACGCGCGAAGCTCCCCGTTGCTCGCGAGAAAAATCTCTAGTACCCAGGGTACATTTCGCGCCATTCTCTAGGCATTCATTATGATCTGTAGTCCGGAAGAGGCTGCCGATGACACTACATCAGCCTGTGACTGAGGCCTTTCCCTTCCCTTTCCTCGTTTTTTTTCCCCAAACAGAGAGCCTGTTCACAGGCTAACACTACATAAGCTGTTCGGACCTGCTTTAGAGGTACCTCTATACCTCCCCTTAATAGACTGCTCACAGTCCCCCATTTTTTTGTGAGATCGTCGAGATATAGCGCGTCTTACCGTTAAATGCGGCCATCTTGATTTGTACCGAGGGGTCGGGCGTCGGGTATTATAGCTCTAGGGGGAGGGAGGCCAGGAAACTAGAGGGACTGTGATAGTCCCTCTATTTTTGTCGCTTCCTTCCAAACCGCCCCCGCACCCTAAGTAGTTTTGACACTCATGCAAGATAGCAGCCCGTAACGCGAAGCGCTCGATCTCGACGATCTTACAGAAGAAGAGAGGACTTTGAACAGTCTATCCCCTTAAGGGCTCATCGCACGCTCCCACCCTGCTGGGATTGCAGCAGAACTTGGAATCCACGAGAACTAAGTCCTGGGGCATTTCTCGAACAGCCGGCTGGCTAACTAATCAAAGGATTGACAAAATGTTTCGTTGTATGGAGGTATTTTTTCTATATATTTTCAAGAGCCGATTACTGGTAATCTGATAAGTTTACATGTGCTATTACTAGCCATAGGCCGAGGAATAATTAACAATTATTCCTTGAGCCCGAAAGGGCTCTGAGTCGATAGCAGAGGCCGTGGGGGCGAGAGGAATAATTGTTTTTAATAGTAAAATCCAACTGGTTGGTCAAAAATATCATGACAAAACAACTTTAGCTAGTTAAAGCTAGTCTTTAATCCTTTTTGCCGCCAAAAAGCCGGTGTCACAGCGTTTTGGGCATCCCCGCGTTTTGGGCATCCCCATTCCCAAATCCCTAGCGTTTTGGGCATCCCCTTCTCATATTACTGCAGCGTTTTGGGCAGTCCCCCGGTACCCTCCCCGGATGCCCAAATCCCTAGTGCTTTGGTCATCCCCTCCAAAAAATTTTGGATTTCACCAGAAACTCGAAAACGTTTTATAGATATCTTAAAAAGAAGGTTTATGCGGAAAGCTTTACAAAGCAAGACAAAACGACTCAGCGAAAATCTGTGATTGACAATCCCGACTTTTCCCCAGTCTGAAGTCGAAGCGATCAGCGTTTTGGGCATCCCCGGTGGGATATGGGAATGGGGATGCCCAAAACGCAGGGATGCCCATATCACTGTGACACCGGCGTTTTGCGCTACTAGTGGGCTATAACATATAGCCTAGTTGCAGCTCAACCAATCAGAACGCAGCATTGATGATAGACCACTAGTTGGATTTTACTAAATAAGATTTTACACTTACCGTCCCTACCTGCAACCCTATCGGTCCCTACAGAGAGGGAGAGGGTAAGAGAGAGAACTTGGGAACGAGGCCTCGGTCTCAGTAGCCTGCGTAGCAGGCGCTTGGAAGTAGTGGGCACAAGAAAAAACGGGCGCGCAAGAAGGAGACACGCGAGGGGAGAGGAAGCGCCTGCACGGAAGGCCCCCGAAAATCGTTTCCCGCCCCCTCTCTAATTACTTGGCAGCCGTTGCGTGATCTGTCAAAAGTTTTGACAGAAAACGATTGACCTCGCACAAACAAAGGAAGTCGCCAACAAGCGTTGTACATTTTATCTTCGGTCTAAATATATCTGTTATAAAGATGATTATATATAGAGCGATGGAGCAATAAACTGATGGTTAACACACAGCTTTAAATCGTTTTTAACCATGGGCACAATAAATAGGAAATAACAAAGTCAAAACTGGGTATCTTTTAAAGAATGCATGCTGTGTATTATAAAAACTAAAAATATTGTTCTGGTCAGACACCAACGATCACAGCGTACGTGGAAAATGACCTTATTGCTTTTACTGCGCTAACTGGCAGCCGCTAACTGGCAGCCGTTTTTGGAGCACACATGTCTTACTAAGCGGACCTAAACCTCAGAACACAAACTGTACCGACATGTTTTCTACTGCAGTAATGAGACATAAACAACAGACCTCAGGTTGCCTCCGAACGGCCCTGGTAAGTGTTTCATTTCATCAATCATGTCCAAGTTTTGATGCTATACGTTCCATCGACAACACAAGCCGCCAAGTTCTCCTGAGCAAAGAATATTTCCTCTGATCTTCATTGCAACGATTCGACAAATCTTTTGTCTCTCGCCACTTCTGCTGATGCGTATCCGATGTCAATTCTTTCCATCGTGAATACCCTTTGAACACTCCAACTTTTCTTTGAGATTACAGCCACATAGTCCCATTAAACCAGATTGAAGTGACCTCCGAGATCTGAACTTCGATTGTATACAATTTAGTGGTTTCAGGACCCAATGGAGTAATGCAAGATCTTCACTACGTTGTCCATGTACTATTGATTGACAGTTTTCTCGCCCCGCGCGGTTAATTTTTCCCTCGGGAGCCTCTCGACCAATTGGAAATATCCGCACTCACAGAGTGCGAGTTGAAACGATTTTCGGGGGCCTTGCGTGCAGGCACTCCCTCACCCCTTGCGTTTCTCCCTCGCGCGCGCCCGTTCTCTCTTTCGCCCGCTACTTCCAAGCGGCAGCTACGCAGCTACGGTCTCAGAGACTTTTTCGTGCGTGGTATTTGTCTTCAGGAATACGACACCGAAGTATCCCGCCGCACGCGAGAGAAAGCCCCTAGTTACCCAGAAGAGTACCCAACTATCCAGGGTATTTTACGTTGAACTCTATAAAGCAAAGTGGTGGAGCGAGGGTTTGAATTTAGTGTTTTCTTAAACCTTCTTAATGACTAGGATAATGAAACGAGCATTAGAAAATTAAAAAGCCGGAATGGGCGATAAGAACGGGGGTGGACACACACACCGGGGAAAAGTAACTCAAGTAAGTTACTTATCGATTGATAAGTAACATATAATCGCTTTAGCAAATGACCTTTGTCATCTCCTTTCAAGGTTATTGTCACGAATAAAAGAACAAAGCTCAAGTCTTCAGTTGCGTGGTGTTTGCAGACACGTGCAAGGAAACGGAAGTTGGGGATTGACAAAGGAGTAAACAAAAATGTCTATCCCTAAGAAACGCAAAGCTACAAAGGAAGCATCCCACACTAAAATACCGTATATGACCTATATATATCAGGTTCGGTAAATCTATTTTAAAAGTTGACCACAGCACCACTCCCAAACTTATAAATCCCTGACAACGGCTTTGTTTTCGCGATAGTCATAAATATCCGTAGAACATGTAGCTGAAGAACTAGATAGGATCTGTGCTACAGCCAGCCTGTACCAGTGTGCTTTCTACTCGGCTGGCCTGCTAGTCTTTTTCCCTACTAAGTAAATTTTTTTTAGAAAACTAGAAAAAACAAATCCAGGTGCACTGCCCAGTAAGGCAAAATTTTAGTTTCTAACCTCGGCGAAACGAGAACTTGTCAGGTTTTTCTTACAAATAGTACAACTCAACCATAAGAAACATTTGGAGAGCATTTCTCGATATCAAGACAAACATGGCAAGCCAAAGTACAATACCCAGGCGTTTCCTTGACCCAGCCTTCCTCAAGCTCAATAATTTTTGGCTTTTTTCCTCTTTTTTGCCCAACCAACGTAATGGGAAACGAAATTTTATACGGATGGCGGTTATCACGCCGATCCAAACTGGAGGAGATGGATATTTTAGACGACCTCGAAATTCTCCCAGGTTACAAAGCGCAATTTATGCCTAATTTGACAGGTTCTTACTAAATTTAAATTAAAGAGGAAAAAATCGATCCTGTCTATTCGAAACTAAAGTTGGAAATATTTCAAATCCCTTTGCAATGCAAACTTCCCCTATCTCTGGCGCATCGTTCATCATTGCCATGTCGTGTATTCGAAAAACTCAAAGTGCACACACCATGTCCTACTTCATCTGTCAATCAACTGTTTGAGTTAATCCATGCCAGCGCCTAAGACCACGTGGTGGAAGTCTAGTAAAACTAATCTTTGTTGCTTCTTATTTACAGACTTCTACTGATTTATGTTTTAAGCACTTTCGTAATGATCAAATGAAATCACTAAATCGCTTCAACACATCCACTTTTTAATGGCCTTTAAAGGGTCTTTTAAATGAGAAAAGGCATGAGCTCACGAGCCCGGGTAAGTGACACATTCCTAATGCCTTACGTAAGCGACGATAACAAAACAAATCACGTGAATATCATGTGCCTCGCCTTTCAGTCAAATAGGAAATGCTGCCATAAAGTCAGGTCTCTCGTTGAAGGCGTTGGTGCAGAGAAGTTTGTGTCTCCCGAGTTTGAATCGTTGATACCGAAAAACACTTACATCTCGAGGTAAGTCCGTCCACCCTATACTAGTAAGGAACTGTGCTACGCAAAAAAATCGGCATACAACATTCAATAATGTAAAAGATCATCATTTTTAATGTTCATCGTTCGATTAAGAGAGTGACCGATCTGAGGCCGCCGCCTTGTTTTACTCCTTTTAACTTGTGAATACAATCTGTGCACCAGTACTACGTTTATATTCTGTTATATTTCAGTTTCTTAGTAAGCTTTAAAGCTCTGTTAATTTAATTTTTCATCATGTTGTGCTTATCTTAAAATAATTAAGATTTTGTCGATGCAACTTTTGGGGGACGTGGCTGTTATATATTGAGTTGATCCCTCCATTTTGGATCCAACGCAACATTCACATTCCCTGAAATAAACTGCAGTGATTTTTGTTGAACAAAAAAGGACTTTTACAATGCCGAATACTAAGGTTAATTCCTTGCTGTGGACGGCACACTGTTGATTACGAAATCAGCATGGCAGCCACAAGCAGTGCGCCTTATAATAACTCCGCGTGATTTTACTACAGCATGAGAATGATGTGATCACTTTGTTTTGTATTGTTGAGTCAATTAAGCGATACCTAAACGGAACTACAGTCGCTTTGTTAACTGTAGCCACTTTTTTCTCGTCCAGTGGAGCGCGAAATTACCCAGTATTTAGCACTGTTTAATATTGACGAGCGACGAACGCCCGACAAGATCCATGGCATGGTCGCGGAACAACACCCTAAAAACTCCATGTGAAAGTTCACACGATTACACCATTTTATATAAACCAAGCTTGAAATAGAAATGATGCCCTCCTTTTCGAAATGCGTTCGCTCATCTTAATCCTTCTGTACGTGTTGAAACGCGCGCTGGATGTTGATCACGATTTCTTTATTTATTCTTTACTGAAACCATGTCCGTTATTTCATTTGACCATAAAGTCGATCGACTTACGTGCGATATACAATGTCGAAATGCTTCTCATTTGCCTCATAAACTGAGCCTTGTTCGCTAAGTCGAAGGAAACGTTTGCAATTTGCTTTCCTTGGTCCATTTAGCAATTGAAGTCTCGTTAATTTCGGGCGCGCGCGAGAAAAAATCGATGTTTTAACTGAAAACCATCCGTTGCCAATATAGTTTCGTAATACTAGTGCTTAATTATTGATGTTGTACTAGTTTGAAATGTAACTAAGAGGTAGACACGTCCATAATTATTTAATATAATATATTACAGGAGTGGACATGTACACTGTTCATCGATAGCATTATTCGTGAACCTTATTTGCCTATCAATGTTTCACTTTTCAATTCGCTAAACGTGTTTCACAATCGAAGGAAGCTAAGGCCAGTCCTTCGTATTACTTCAGCCGTATGCACGTGCCGAGAACAAAACTTTGTAAAATACGCAAGTATCATAAGTGACCTCGGTTTGTCAAACGCATTGTTTCATATCGAAAGCAAACGTTAATTAAAACAAAGCCCCTGTCGTGGCTAGCGACATGTAGTTCGTGAAATTTTAGACATTTCCTCGTTGGCATTCTTCCTACGAACAATTTATTATTGGCAGCTTCTGATCAAGGTATACTGGTATAAAGAGAGCTTGGAAACCTTCACAGATATGAGGAATGAAGTTACCGGAGAAATAGAAATTATTTCACCGCGTGGAGGTTTTGAATTCCAGTCATCTTTCTTCCTTGAAATGCCGGAAATCGGCGTCCCTTTCTGATTGATGTGAACTTCGCACTCAAGCCTATCTGACGTTGTTCGTGAAATATGTTAAGCTGTTAATTCAAGCGATAGGTTTTCCTTTTTATTTATGAGAGCATTAACATTAATTTAAATAAAAAAGTGAGAGCCTGATTGTAGAAAAATGAACACTGTGGACTATGTTTAAGCAACAATTTTCATAATAGGTAAGGGAAAGATGAGAAATTTACGCATCAAACCCCTTGCCATCTCTTAATAAAATTTCTAAGCTAACACAACATTTTACTATTGATCTTATTATTCAATGATATACTCAGACAGTTGCTTTAACAAAAATTGGGTTCTTCCAGAAAAAATCCACACCCAGGTGATGGAAGGCACCCCCATCCACCTGGATTTCCAAAACTGCTCGAGCCCCCCTCCCCTCAGGATTTCCAAGTTCAATGACCCCCCCCCCTCACCCGTATGGATTTGCACAAAATTGTTAGACACTGTGATTTTACTTAAATTCACTTACATGATCTTTTTATTAGATAAGTTTCAATTTTCTGTGAATTCTGCGTTTGTTGGGCACGTTAAGATTCCTTTTTCACGTCTTATTAAACAGGCTTACACTGTTTGCAAATAAGGTCATATTTCAGTGAACTTCTCTTTTTTTCTAGAACAGGCAAAATATACAGCAATATATACTACAAAATGGTTCTCTTCTTTGTCAATTAAAAAATGACTGTGAAAGAAAGAAAAAGGACACTTGTCGGAATATTTCATGATGCCCCGTATCGCTTGCCTTTCAAAATGGCCGCCAAACAATCACGAACAACCACGCTTACAAAATGTACTTGTAAGGCCTGTTTAGTGGAAAATCACCCTGAAATAGCATTAACCTTGGAAAAATGTATAATTCAAGGTAAAATCGCTGTTTACTTTACTTAAACTGAGTGTTTATTTATGAATTATGCGATTTTTCCTCCTTCAAGTTATCGCTCGTCGTTTCTACAAAAGTAAGGAGGGCAAACCTATGGATGGAAACTTAAAATAAAGGTGGTGAGAGGTCTGTAGTTTGAAAGAATAATAAAATTTGAAAAGGCAAAGCAATTTTTTGAAAACTTATCGATAGAAGTGTTTAAAACATCGATGAAATTGAAAGTTACCCCCAAGGATGTATTTTTAGGTTCAGAGCCCCCCTTCCCTCTGGATTTCCAGACCCGTTAACCCCCCCCCCCCTCCCCTGAGATTTTCCAGCATGCCTTCCGTCATGAAGGTGTGGATTTTTCTGGAATAACCCATTGTCTGTTTTTTGTTTATCTTTGTGCACCAAAAATAAGAGTTTCATTTTGTTCTTAGATGGAGAAAATCATCATTTTGTCATTTGTTCTTCTTGCTTGTGGTAAGTGCAGGAGCCAATATTTCTTTTTTATTGAACCACATGTATTTTGTTCCCCAATCTAAGGGTGCATTCCACTGAGATGATCTGTGTTCACTCAGATCAGGTTGCATAAAAATGAATCTATGAATTCTTCCTCAGAGTAGTTTCATGAGTTCCTTTGATACATGATAATCGGAGTGATCTTAGATCACTGGTCATGATCCAGATTATCCATAAGGAACGCACCCAAAGTTTATTGTTCTCACCTACACTGGGGGCTCTTACAGTGGGTGGTGGCTGAAGTTGAAAAAACCTTTGGGGGGTGTTTGCATGAGAAAACTTGCACCGGCGCAAGTTTCATCCCAGGATGACTTGTTTATTTTGTATCATATTTTCATGAGGATGGGTCATTTCAAATCCCGGTTATTTGAACGTACACTTCATATTGATAAAATACCCCTGCAATTCAAAGACGCAAACATGATGCGTGTGCTACCTGTTTCAGTCCACCTGCAGACTGGTTTCACACTGAAAGGGGTGGTCGTTTTGCGTTAACATGGGCACTTTCTGTTTAGTCAAAATTTCCAGAAATTTTAGTTCGGCAGTTAATGGAAAACGTTTGTTGGTTCGTCCCACGGGAAAAGTCTCGGAAAAAGTAGAAATTCTAAAAAGGTACGCCCCTAGACTTTAAAAAAAGTCCTTCGTCCGATTTAATATGGCGCGGGACGAAGGACTTTTCATACTTAATTGGTATCATACGGTGGCCCACAACTGTCATGGCAAAACCAAAAACCTCGCGGCAAAAACAAAATACCTCACGGCAAAACCAAAAACCTCGCAGCAAAATCAAAATACCTCACGACAAAATACCTCACCGCAAAACCAAATACTTCACGGCAAAAGCAAATAGCCACAGCAAAACCAAAGCTATTTTGCCTTTGCTGTGAAGTATTTGGTTTTGTTGTGAGGTATTTTGTTTTGCCGAGAGGTATTTTGTTTTTGCCCTGAGGTTTTTGGTTTTGCCATGATGTATTTTGTATTTGCCGCAAGGTTTTTGGTTTTGCCGTGACAGTTGTGGGCCAACGTATGGTACCAATTACCGTAAAAACTCGTGTATAAGCCGCACTCGTGTATAAGCCGCACCCCCAACTTTCAAGCATGATTTTGAAAAAAAAAAAAAAAAACCAAAAAATGCGCTTTTGTAAAAAAGGTGATCGTTTGTTCGCGCATCAAAATGTTCACAAATAAACTTGAGGAAATTTAATGTTGTGTATTTGCAGTGACATTTTAAATAAGTTAATCAACTCTGAAAATACCTTTTAAAAGGTTCTCTTTAATCAATTTCCCCATTTCCTGCGAAAGACAACAGTTCTCTTCATTGCTAAAGCCTACAGTTGAAATGAAAATGGAACAATGGAATGAAAATAAAGCGCTGGAGAATGCTACAAAACGATTGCTTAGTAACCACGCGTTTATTTGATGAGGGACCACCACTGAGCCACCACTTCTACTGAAAGCAATGATCAACGACAGGTTTCAATATGTTTAATCTTTATTTATTGAAGGTATTCAGTTCAATTTGTGACCCCTACAAGCCAGTTTACTCCCTTTGAGAGCAATGGTCTCGTGTATAAGCCGCACCCGCGATTTTTGACTCAAAATTTCGGCAAAAAGGTGCAGCTTATACACGAGTTTTTACGGTAAGTATGAAAAGTCCTTTGCCCCGCGCCTTATTAAATCGGACGAAGGACTTTTTTCGTACTTAATACCAGTTCCATTTGTTACCAACTTGGCAGCCCTGTTGGTGTCCTGTCAGGTAACGGGCTCAGCACCTTACGGGGGTTTACAATCAAATGGAACAACTTTTTTCCTATTCTTGGTTTTCACGTGACGTCACCAAAATTCAAACTAAGAAACTATCGCTTCCTCTGAGTTTCTACTATCATGTGATACTAGAGCACCTTAAAACCTTTATACAAACAAATTTTCGGTTTAAAAGGGTTCTTTGTTTTGCGATACAGGACGCTTGAATTTCCAGGCTTTTGCTTGACGAGGCATTTGGCTGGCGGCCAGGAAAGCTCTTACGTGGGTTAAAAACATTACGGATTTTTTGAGATTTTGCTATCTAAACATTCCTTGTCTTAGAATAAATATTACTTAAATCTTTATGAGTTCCTCAAGCGAAGAATTCACGCACAAGTAGGAAAACTCAAAAACAGCTGTTTCAGTTGGTTTCCGGCGGCCATAGAGGGACACAAACATGGCGTCTTCATACAAAGCTTTATAAATTGGGTAAAATGTTTTTCCGAATATCTCGCAGATGAACTATTGCATAGACCTGATTCTTGGCAAGGCTTTTTGTATATTTATCCTCTTTCATTTCCCAGATTCTAGAGTTTCTGTATTAAAAGGTTTCCATTTTTATTTCTGCTCTCTCACTTGAGTGAAAATGTAGAATTGGAGAATCCATTTTTTTCTCACTGAAATTTCGGGATTTTTTTGTCTAAATCGAAAATGTCCATGATACCTGTGCCAAATTTTGTACCGAGGAGAATTCTTGCTACGGTACAACAACCATGGTGAACTCACACCAGAGTGTCTCGCACTGGCATGTAATTTTGTGGTGGTATCATGTAAACAAATATAGGGCCATGAGAGGGAACCGGAGTGAAACTCACGGCCTTGCGAAAGTCGCCCCAGTGTAATGGAAACACCCCCTTAGTTTGATGAATTAAGGAAGAAGCCCTGTTCCCTGCGGGTATTTTATTACTTTACTATTGCTTGTCTGTTGTCACAATTACAGTCTATCCTTAGGTCATTTTTTGCCAATTCATCTGCCATGTCAATTTTTGGCATTATTTTACTCTAACGGGTCTTCCAGTATAGTGGTGACAGGCGACAGTGGCCTGTATTGACTTAATTTTTTCCGAAATGATTCAGTGACCCCAATAGTGAAAACTATCTGTGGTCCTTTTTTTGTGCAGATGTACATTTTGAAATGCTTCTGTTCTGTTTTGCTACTCGTAACTATAACTTTCTCTTTGTGTTATTATTTGTGTTCGGCCCTCATTTCTTGTTGCTTATCTGTTTACACACAGTTTGCTTGATCTGTCATGGTGATCCAAGTCCTTCACTATCGGCAAGTAAGTAACCTTAGACTCATTGGCCTCGGTTAAAGACAAATGTAATTAAGTTCCAATAGTGACCAACAGCAATTTTCTCCTAACGATACCCATACATTATCATGAGATTTGTATGAAGTTATCGGAGCATAACTGGACTAATATCTCAGAGACAATTTCCCCTGAAATGCTAGTTTTTGGCGAGAAGGCCTCTTAGATGTTGTTCTTTATGAATATCCTCATAAATCCCATAATTTCAAAAATTATTTTTATGATGTCACACTTAAGAACTGGGATACTTTACATAACCTACATAACCTTTCACTTGACTACTATGAACACAACCCCTGGCTACTTTGAGAGGAAACAGAAAAAAAAATACAAACAGCAACCAAAAGAATTTCTTGGCTGTTCCAATTCTCTGCTTACGTACTACATATACCTGGCAAATCTTAGTGACAGCTCGGTTTATGGAAGAGCTGATAATATTAAATTTAAAGTTACCTGGTACGTGGCAAATGTCTCTCATGATTGCCCTGAGTTAAGCGTGCTCAAACAACTTATAAAGCTATAGGACTGGATCGTATTAGTGAACGGTTATTGAAGGACTTGGCTGAATGCATGGCACCTATACTGACCAGACTTTTTATTTAACTGGTCACTTGAGGCAAGTACTTTTCCATCGATTTGGAAATGTGATAGGGTGCCTGCTTTATTCAAATGAGGCGATCGTCCCGACATAAACAATTACAGCCCAATCACAGTACTCCCAACCATTAATTAGCAAGATCCTAGAGCGGGTTGTGCACCAACAGCTGTACGAGTTTTTATCAGCAAATGAATTACTTACTCCAAATCAATTTGGTTTCGGCCATAAACTTTCAACTGCAACTGCCCTTGCTCATTTTACGGACAACATACTACAGAGTCGTGATAAAGGTGGCTTCACTGGCGCAGTTTTCTTAGATCTTTCGAAGGCTTTCGACACAGTGGTTAACGTGCGTCTTGTCAAAAAACTCAAGACCATTGGAGCCAGTTCTCAAGTTGTGAAGTGGTTTGCCTCGTACCTTGAAAGTCAGTATCAAGTCACATCTGTTGAAAACTGCCAGTCGACTCAACAATTACTATCATTGTTATACTCAACTAGAACTAGTTACTAGAACTGAAATGTTAAGTCATAGATGTATGGTAACCGTTTCTTTATTTTTCCAAGTAACCACCTCCACCTCTGCGACGTCAGCAGGTAAGTACTATTCAAGGGCCATGTTTTTAAATTAAACACTTAAAAACCTGTGGTGAATTGAATCCCTATGCTTTCTCTCTTGCCCATAACTGAGGCCAGTTGACCATAAACCAGTTTGCCTCTGGAAATTTTCCTGAAGAATGCTGTTTAGAACTGCATGTGTATGATATAGTCAGGCCATAAATTTCGCTTCACCGTCTGGCCGAAAAAGAAGCCCAATCCTCCAATACATTGTGTACAAGTTGAGATCTACACTGACTTTGGTTCCTGATGCAATAACTGCCCTTGAAGGTTTTTGGGCATGCACAGAAAGCAATTTGGGGTGTTTTTTTTTTCCGAAATAGTGACACTACCCTACTACACTACTAGTGGACAAAAACCTTATACCAGAATAATTTAAAGAAAACTGCATTCTTTTTACATTTTTCAAGAGCTATAGATGTAATTAGTTATGTGTAATAACACCAAAGAAAATTTCTCGTGGGAGCCCAAGAAAATGACTGTCAAATTTCTAAAGAATTGTGAAAACACAGTTAAAATTCTAAAAATGTCATGTGCGAGATGTCATTTTGTGAAGTTTGATATTTATTTTCCCAGGCTTCCATAAGAATTTTTCTTTGGTGTTATTATGCATAACTAATTACATCTATAGCCA